CTGGATGTATCACTGGCAGAAAAAGACTTCTTTTGACCTCTCACCCTCACCCTTCTTCACCCACTCCCTTCCCTTTACCCATCCCGGTGCCCAGAACAGGGCGAAACATCCATTTACGTTGGTGGGTGGATAGAAGGGTGAATTAGTGCATAGACAGATGGCACAGAAGACCTGGGGTTACCTGGCTGCCACTCACCCTGTGACCATGGCCATGCCCACCCACCCAGGGTCAGCAAGGAGAAATGCCGCCCAGTGCTGGCAGGAGGTGGGGGTGGCTCTGCAGGCACCCCCCTGCAGCACTCGTTCCTGACCGAGGTGACCGACGTCTATGAGATGGAAGGTGGGCTGCTGAACCTGCTCAATGATTTCCACTCAGGCCGGCTGCAGGCCTTCGGTGAGTCCTGGGGGCGGGGCTTAGAGGGCATGTAGGTGGGGCTGGAGGGCTGGGTCTCTGGGGCGTGGCTGGTACCAGGGTCCCAAGCTTGCTCCCAGAGCTGACAGGTGTTGTCCAGGGAAGGAATGCTCCTTTGAGCAGTTGGAACACGTGCGGGAGATGCAGGAGAAGCTGGCCCGGCTGCACTTCAGCCTGGACGTGTGTGGAGAGGAGGAGGAGGAGGAGGAGGAGGACGGAGTCACTGAGGGGCTACCTGAGGAGCAGAAGAAGACGATGGCTGACCGCAACCTGGACCAGCTGCTTAGCAATGTGGGTCAGGGCTGGGTGCTTCAGTTCCTGGGGGCACCAGAGGGTGTGTGGAGGGGTACATGCTTCTAAGACCATTCCTGGCCCCTGGGTGAAAAGCTGGGGGTGCATGGAGCCCAAAGCTCTGGGCCTCTCAACCCCCCACCAGAAGATGAACCCCAGAGCATCTGGAATTTGACCAGGTGCCCCTCCTTACAAAAACTTCCCTTTCTCTCTCTCTTGACAGCTGGAAGATCTTAGTAATTCTATGTATCCTTTCAAGGGGACTTGACAGTGTGTAAGTGTGTGCACGCCTCCCAGAGATAAAATCAGCTTCGGCCTCCCCACCACCCTGCAGGAATCTTTACAGATAACCAACATCCTTACCCCTTTCAGTCCTACAGAATTAGCCACAAATTCCCCCTACCCAGGTAGAGGGTGCAGAAAGAATTCCCCAAATATTAGGAGAAAGAAAGGTGGTTGCAGGGAATATGTTTTACTTGCTTATCAAAATCTTTGCAAGGGGCTTCCCTGGTGGCGCAGTGGTTGAGAGTCCGCCTGCCGATGCAGGGTACACGGGTTCGTGCCCTGGTCCGGGAAGATCCCACATGCCGCGGAGCGGCTGGGCCCGTGAGCCATGGCCGCTGAGCCTGCGCGTCCGGAGCCTGTGCTCCGCCACGGGAGAGGCCACAAAAAAAAAAAAAAAAAATCTTAGCAAGTACTTTAGCCGACACCAATCCATGGCAAAGCTTGTCTGATGTCTTCCTATTCTTTCAGCACTGAACAATTATTTTTACTGACTTAAATTATCTCCGCATCTAGTTCTATCAGAAGTAGTGCGGGTGCACGCTCCTGCATGATCTAAAGCAAAAGCGAAGGGGGTAAGGCACCTAGCAAGAAGGACAGGTGAGGACTGCAACCCCAGACCACGGAGCACTCCAGAGTCCCTGGCCCCCGCCCCTTTGCGCAGTCGGGGAAACTGAGCCTGTGCAGGTTGGGAAAATAGGGCTGCAAGGACCCGGGTCCAGAGCATCACAATCCTTGACCGGCACAGACAGAAGCTGCACCTGGCTGAGAACGCCGAGCCTGAGGAGCCGTCAGCTGTGTAGGTGTCGGACCCAGGCTCAGACCGCCCCTTCTCATTCCCTTCAAACTGTGACTTTTTACGGACTCGACTGGGTGTTCCGCGGCCCCCCCAGGTGCTATGGGGGAGGGGGGCATTGGATGGGATTAAACCATAAAGAAAGAAAGCGGCTCTGTGTCCTCCCTCCCCTCCTCGCGCCTTTACTCGGCAGGGGCGCCCGGGCCCCAGCTCTCGCGGGAACGCCCCTTTGCAACAAACTTCTGGTTTGGGAGGTCCCGGTCGCGGGGCTGGACTCCCCTGCGCTGCTCTGGGAGTGGGGACAGGTGCCAGTTGGCGCCCAGCCCCGGGCAGGAGCCGAAAGGTTGCCATGGAGACGGAGGGGCGGGGCCTGAGCAGGCCAGCGCGGCGCAGACTGGTGACGCACTGCGCAGGCGCCGGGCGGGTCAGTTACGCCCGGATGGAGCGGGAACGGTTGGATCAGAAGGTGACAGCGCTGCAGGTGCGGGGCGGGCTGGGGTGCGCATGATTCCTCCCCCCCACGGGATCTCGGACTGGGACCTTTGGACAAGATGAGGCTGTCACGTCTAGTAACCTGCCCGCGTGCCCACCTCTGAACCTACCGACCCAGCCCCACCGGCCTGAAGAATGCGGGGACCCCACGGACCCTCACGCGCCCCCCACTCCCACTACACACTCCTACGGGATCAGGGAAATTAAGGGAAGGGCCTTTAATCGACGAGGTGGATCCAGCCCAGCACGTTCCCTCGAACCCCCAGAGCGCCAACACACAGCGTCACCTGTCCTCTCCCGGGGGCCGGGTCCTCTCTTGCAGACCTCTCCAGGAGAATCCCCCAAGATGCCCCCATGTTGCAGTGGTAAGGGTTTTCTTTCCCCTCGTTCTCCACACCAGGCCTGCGTCCGGGGCTTCTTGGTCCGACGCCAGTTCCAGAGCCTTCGAGCTGAATATGAGGCTATTGTACGAGAGATCGAGGGTGATCTGGGCACGCTTCAGTGGACTGAGGGCTGGATTCCCAGGCCCCGATTTCTCCCAAAGGTACTACACACCCTAGAGGTAGAAGAGAGGGGGAAGAGGGACCTGGGCAGGGGATTCCACCCTTCATGCTGACAAGCTATTCTCATTGGAAAAGGCAGCAGACTCAACCTCCTCACACCCCAGTCCTTAATCCTCATTAACTTGTATGCTATATCATGGCACCCAGACACTTGGAGGGTTTAGCCTTGGGGCTCTCATACCTTTCTGATTTCTCAGAAGGCAAAATCCCACCAGACCTGGAAAGCTGGAGAGAGGGTACCAAATCCAGAGCAGGAACTATGGAGCTGCTTCCCATGTAAAGAGCCTGAGAAAGAGGCCATCTGGGAGGAGATGATACTGAAGAAGTCAGGAGAGAGCTCAGCAAACTCAGGCAGTCTTCTCTGCAGAGATGATAGCCCATGGTTTCAGGATGAGCAGAGCAGGAGGACCAGGAAACCGAGCCAAGAGGAGACCAGAGACGTGTCAAAGATGGAGAACCCAGGTACCTCTCTGCCTAGATCAGGGCAAGCCTCTGACCCTCTCTGGGCGTCAGCTTTCCCATCTGAAAAGTGAAAGGCTTGTGCTAGATAAGCTGCATCCCTTTCCTTCTTCCCTCTGCTTGGTTGGGGGCAACTCATGGGTGGGCAGGGGGAGGGTGCCAGGGTCTAATGCTAGGCCAGTGCCCACTGTCTGCCCCCTCAAGGCTTTCTCCCTTCATTCTTCCCTCCTTCACAGAAGCTGCAGGTCCAGGACTGCCCCACAGCCAGACTGAGCTCCAGGAGCTCCAGTACCACCGCAGCCATTTGGCTATGGAGCTGCTGTGGCTGCAACAGGCCATCAATAGCCGTAAGGAGGTAGGCACTAATTTGGAGCCCTCTCTGCACATTTAGGGCCAAGGGTGGGGCTTAGGGAAAAGCCTCCTGCCATGCCCAAGCAGGCCTGCCGGGTACAGTGTTCTCTTCTCCAACAGTACCTAATTCTCAAACAAACACTGAGATCCCCAGAGGCGAACCAGGCCAGAGATGAGCCCAGCTTGTGCGCAGACCACGGGGGACAGGGCTGTGAGAAAGCTGGGTCACGACCAGGCCCACCACTGGAAGACCAGTCCTACAGAACTGCTAGAGAGCCAGACCACATGGATGACTCCTGCTGGAGACTCAAATCACAACCCCATAAAACCCCAGAAATACTGGCCACTATAGACAAAACCACTGCTGGGGCTAAGTACAGGGACCTATGCTACAGACAGACAGGACCACAGCTGCCCACACCATGGGATAATCAGGCCATAGGGAAAAGGCTCACCAAAGAGCCAGAGTGTGGAGAACAGACCTTTGGAGGGACCTGCCTGCAGCTGACAAAACTTCTAGAGGATGAGACCCACAAAGGCCTCAAATCTAGGGGCTACTGTTCTGGAAAGGCCAGGACACAGCTGCCCACACTCTGTGAGGACCCAGACATTGAAGACAGCTCTCCCAGAGGGCCAGGCCAAAAAGAGCATGATTGCCAAAGAGCTGGGCCACGAGAGTTGGGCCTCTCAGAGGACCATGTCATCTGTGATGGGACTTTGGCAGAGCATGGTGGCCTGGATCTCTGGAAGGCTAAACCACCTCAAGGGCCGAACTCCCAGTGATAAAAGCTCCACAGATAGAACCTCCAATGAATCTAGCCATGAAGGATGGAAAAACCAGAGGACTGTACCATGGAGATCAAGGCCACCTGAGAAACTGTCTTCCACAGGGTCAGACCACACAGGAGAGGATCACTGGAGGGGGCGACTGTGGAAAACAGGACCACCAGGCTAGACCCTGGGGAACCAGGGAAGACCAGGTTCCAAAGGGGGATTCTATGAAAGGGCAATGAGGGAGACAAGACCTCATTGTAGCTCCCTGGTACCAGCTCTACCTCCTGCCCCTGCCCGTGGGTACTGGTGGCTAATGAGGCCAAGAGAAGTTGGAGCACAGAGCTGGCATCAGTAGAGGTAGGAGGATACTTCCATCCTCTGCCTGTGGCTCAACCCAAATTTTGGGATAGGGAGCCACCTGGGGTGAGTAAAGTTGGGGGGCTGATGGAGAATAAAGGTGTTCCTTAGATTCTGAGCCTGGTTGTATTTACCTTCTGCCTCTGGTCAGGACAGACTCTGGGCCCTCCTGTTCACTTCCTGCTGACATGGGGCATCTTCCCCAGAGCTGGCTGGGAGACACAGCCCAGGAGCAGACTAGCCGTCCTTGGGGAACAGCCCCCAAAGCTGATCTTCCTTTAAGCTCAGCCCTTGGGCTGCATAGTGGCAGGGAGGCTGAGAATCCCTTGCTCCACCCGGTACGGGAACATCTGTGTTTCAGTGTGATCTCTGCCACTGCCTCTCTCACTGAGCCCCAGGCTCTTTCTTCATATATAGTGATCAGACCCACCGTACTCTTGTGAGGCCCCACCAAGAGCAGATTGGATGAGACCTTGAATGCAGACAGATGCTCCTATGGAGGCTCTCCCTGCCTTTCTGGGTGAGAGGGCAGGACTCCACCTCTGATTGGCACTGCTCCCAGCCCTGCCTTAGTTGCCTGGCAACAGCTCTGCGTCTCTAGCTGGGGACACGCTATGGCAGGTGGCAGTCCAGCAGCCAAGAGGGTAGTGGTGTACCAGAATGGGGACCCCTTCTCCCCAGGCCACCAGCTGGTGGTGACTCAACACTGCTTCCCCACCCTGGAGACCTTCCTCTGTGATGTGACATCGGCTGTGCAGGCCCCACTGGCCGTGTGTGCTCTCTACACGCCTTGTCATGGCCACTCTGTCACCGACCTGGCAGACCTGCAGAACGAAGGACAGTATGTGGCTGCTGGCTTTGAACGATTCCGCAAGCTCCCGTGAGTGGGCTGGAGCTGGTCAAAGAGCCTGGGGAGAAAGGTAATAGCGATAGCAACAGCATGTGTTCAGTACTTCCTGTGTATCTCACGGAATACAGCAATCCTATGAAGGGGGTGGTCTTATCCCCATTCTTTGGAAGGGGAAATCAAGATAGTGAAATAACCTACCTAAGAGTACATAAATAACACGTGGAGCCACAGTTCAAGTCAAAGTCTTACACTGATGTTCATGCCCATCCAGCCAGGACCAACCAGTGGGAAGAACATTCTGCTGGTTGAGCCCCTTTTTCCAAAGGCTGTTCCTGATTGGGTCCTTACCACCACCATGACCATCACCACCACCACTAAGTATTCTAAATCCATCCATCACTTCCTCTGTGCTGTGTTTAGGCATCCCGTGCTCTCCATTAGGCTGGGATTATCCTTTACAGGGTGGGGCTATGCTTTTCAAGATGGGAGAATAAATAATTTGAGTGTCTGAGCTTCCAGCTCAGATCTGGCTTCCAGGTCGTCCTCTGCTCTCGGCTGAGGTTGCTGAGAGTTAAGGAGCCAGGAGTTGGGAGCCAGACAGGGCTCTGTCACTTCCATGTTGCTTAGGTGAGTCACTTAACTTGCCCTCGGTCTCATACAAAATGAGATGAAACCGCACACCTCACGAATGAGAAAATTTCTGAGATACAGGAGGATCTCGACCTTTAATCTTGTGGCTTGGGTCTGAGACCCCAGACTGGATGTCCAGCCTGATGCATAACCTAAGGCAGGTTCAAGTGCCAGCATCTGTCCCAGACCGAGATGACTGGGACTATTCCAGTGGGAAGGAAGACTTGGTGAACTGGGCCCCAGCCCCCGACTCTGGCAGCTGCCGGGCTGTTGAGGACCCAGGCTCCCCAAGATGACCAGTGACCTATCTGTCCTTTCAGCTCTTTACACCCTAGAGGGGAGGATCCAGGTGGGAAGAGCAGCAGACTACCAGTAAGTCCTGGGGCCGACCAGCCCCCAGCCCTCTGTTCTCCCATCCCCCTGGGGGCTGCACCCACTTTGGTCTGGGAAGTCAGGAGCCCTGGAGCTCTGGAGCCTTCTTGGGTGCAGGATTTCAAGACACTGTTCCTTGTGCCGTTCCCAAACTTTTACTTTACTTTAGCTCCAGGCTATGGTCCTCAGAGGAAAGAGGAAGCCATAAAACAGAGGGATGGGAGGGGGTTAAGAATGTGACCTAGGGGAGGTAGAAGTACCCTTTGGTGAAAGGCATGACCAGTCCCATCCCTCCTTGCCCCCTCTTCTGCCCCAGCCTGGTTTCTTTCCCTCACCCTACCCACCTTGGACTGACCTATCCCTGACAAAAGGCCTCAACTCGCTCCTGATCTGGGGGCCTGACGGGTTTCAGGGCCCTCCTGTGATTCAGCAGCCATGTGATGGGGCCCTTGGACAGCGGCTACCTGCAGGTTCCCCCTGCTGTATCCAGTGAGTGCTCGTGTTGGGGAACAGGGGCAGAGATTTTTGTTTCAGGGAGACCAAGGGAAAGTGGGTGGATTTGTTCCAGGAGCCCCTGGCGACTGGGATATAAAAAGTCCAACATGCTTAATGGGTGAAAAACAACGCACTGGTTCTTGGACCATCTTCTGGCCGCTGTGCCATCCTTCTTCCTCTCACACGTAGGTAGTTCTGGGGACCCTTCCCCTTACCAGGCTGCTCTTTGTCCCAGTATGTTCAGGAATGGGGACCTGTTAAGCCCCCCATTTAGCCTGAAGCTGTCCCAGGCTGCCAGCACGGACTGGGAAGCAGTGTTGAAACTCCTGCCTGAGAAGGTGAAATTACAGAGCGGGGCTGTGCGCAAGTGAGTTTGGGGACTGTGGAGACCTGAATGTCCCCAAAGGGAGCCTCCCTACTGCTTTTCGCTGCCCTTGAGGATGAAAAAGCAAAAGGAAAGCATGTTTCCCCAAATGGGACTTCTTTCTGTGCCTCAGGGAGAGGCCCCTCCAGCCCAGCCCTCGGAGCCAGGGCAGAGCCTGGGTGACTGGCCCTGGTGCCCAGAGGGCCAGCAGCCAAAGGGCACCTTCAAATAGCTGTACCCACCCCCTTGTAGTCTGCTGCATATGAAGACACATCTTGTTCACCGGCCCTTATGTACTCACCTCTCTCTCCCAGACTCTGCACCCTGGACGGGCTCCCACTGTCAGCAAGGGAGGTTCTGGCGAGTGGCCATTACTATGTGGCTGTCGGAGAGGATGGTTCAAGGCCCTCCCCTATCTGGTGCCTCGTCCCTCACTGCTGGTATGTATGTGTGAGGTGGAAGGGTAGCAGGTTAGAGCAGAGGAAGCCACCCTGACTCCATGTCCTGCTCTGCCTCCTACAAGCCTTCTCTTTTTTCACTGCAGGCAACCCCCAGACCCAAAGTCCAGGCTCCACAGCAGGGGGTAGGTGAGGCAGGGGGTCATGGGGGGTGGGAAGGAAAAGGAGTGACTAGCCGAGTCCTCTTCCAGCTCAGCCTCTGACCTTATCTCACTGCATCCTCTCAATAATCTTGTGAAACAGAGATTATTATTCCCATTTTCCAGAGGAGAAGCTGAAGTTCAGAGGAGTGAAGTGATTCGTTCAGGTTAACACAGTTATTGCCAGGGGCCAGACCAGAAACTGGTCCGAAGCCAGCTTATCTGGGCTCTGTGAAGACCTTCAGGACTCTGAGTCGCTGGACCTAATGCCAGGTTGGATGCTTGGAGACGGAATCAGCATATCTGGCACAACAGGGTCCAAAGATGATTATCAACTCCCCATCTTATCCCAAGCCTGAGCCCTCCCAAGAGATGAGCCAGTGAGCATCGAGTGGGGGGTAGGGGGATGTGGCCTGGTTTCACTGGGCATCTAGAATACCAGGCACCATCTGCCGTGTCCCTGGATAAGGCAGCCTGATGGAAGAGGGAGCAGGGAGGGAGGATGCAGGCTATGAAGATGGATGGCATCTCCTCTTCCAAGCTCCCACCAGGAGCATTCAAACCTGGACTGGGAGTGGAGAAGGTAAGGCCAGCCTGCACCCACGGCTCAAGCCCAGTGTTCCCTCCGCAGGCAAATGGCCACAGAGCACAGGCAACCCAGTCCTCTCCAAAGGAAGCCAGGCAAATTGAGCCATCTGCTTTTTATGCCAGCCCCCAGCAAGCTTTTCAGCATGCTCTCTACTCTTTTGAGGGGACCCAAGAATCCAAGGCCTTCTCTGCCAGCCTCTAACAGTGACATAGGATTGTCCCTGCTATGCTGAGGGAGTTCCATGGGGGCAGAATGCCCAGGTTGAGAGCTGGTCCGGACTTCAGGACGACTGTCTCCTACTCCCCCGTGTGCACGGCCAGTCCCTTGCCTCTTCACAGGGACCTGGTTTATGAAAAGAAGCACATGGAAACTCAAAGCCATGACATTTCAGGGGTGGGATTTGGAAGGGGTGGGGGTGGGGCCAAAGGCCTGCCTCTGAGCTAACCTGCCATCCTCTGAGGTCCTGGGTGAGGGGGAGGGGAGCGGAGGGGAGGGGAGGGGAGCGGAGGGGAGGGGAGGGGAGGCGAGGGGGCTGGTAGAGAGGGTCAAGGGAAAGAATGTGAGGGCTCCTCAGCCTAGGCATCGGCCTGCAACTTCCCGCGTCAGGAGTCAAGGGAGTGTATGGGGCTCCCCATGCAAGGACGGAGACAGCAGGGGCCCAGGGAGTAGCACATGATGAAGCCGCCTGGACAGAGGCACCCCTGGATCAGGTGGGCTGGGGCCGGGGCCGGAAGCCGTATGTTGGGACAGGAGTTCTGAGCTGGAAACAGGCAGCTCTAGGTCCTGGAAACGATTCTTCTCCCTTGTGATTGTGAGCCAATCTCCTAACCTCTCAGAGCCCGACTTCCTACCTTGTTGAATGAGAGGGCAGATGCTAATTTCTGGTCTCTTCCTTTCTTGGGGTGGGCAAACCCCAGGCTGAGGACTGGAGGCTGGATGTGGGGTGCTAATGGCTCCGTTCTGTGTGGCCTTCTGCCTCCTCCAGAGGGCAGCACAGGTAGTGGAAGAGGCCCTGATCCTGGAAAGCTGGCCAGAGCTGGGGCAGCTCTCTCAGCCTTGGCCCCTGCTCTGCCATCTTGAGAGCCAGCAGCTGTAGCCAGGAACTGGGGACCGCCACTCTGCGGCCACCATTTATCCTCAGCCTCCAGCGGCCGGTTCTCGAGGAGCCAGGGCCTCCCCTGGGCTCACAGGGTGCGCTGCAGCCCCTCAGTCCCTCTTCTGCCCCTAAACCCACAGCCCAGCCTCCTTTCCGCTCCGAGCAGAGCAGCCCAGCCACAGAGGCCATTTCCTTATGAGGTTCTCTGGCCAGAGAGATGAGTAGCCAACGGAGCTTCAGGGAAAGAACACAAACTGGGGAGCGGGTCGTCCCAATAAAAGAATACTTACCAACCTCCATCTGTCTACTACACATTTATTACAGACTTCCGCTCACCTGGCATTGCTCCATACGTTGGGGTCTGGCAGTACGGGGGCCCATAGATGTCGATCTGTTTGAGAGGGGCCGGCACCCACCTCACAGGAGGGACAGGCAAGGCTAACAGCAAACTCCTCTCCCCAACGTCTGCTGTTCTTATGCACCTTCCCCTCAGTTCCCTCCTCAGCCAGCCAAGGCTGAGCCCTGGAGCCCTCCTGTTTGCATTGCTGGCTCAAAGACTGTAGCTGGCTCTCTTCTTGCGGCTGGAGTTCTGCGGTCCACCAACCAGCTGCTGGGATAGTCTGGGTCAGGCACAGGAACAGTGGCAGGCCTGGGGCCTGGGGCCTGACATGACAGCAGGAAGTGTGCTGCTGGGACAGAAAGGTCGCTGAGGGTGAGGGTGCGTGTGAAGTCTCTTGTGCTAAATCCGAGCAGCAGGTGAACAGCACGTGGAAGTTACAAAACCCTTTCACTTTTGTTCTCTTATTATGATCCATGAGGTAGCTATTATCCCAAGAGATGAGGAAGCTGAGGCTGGGGAGTGGAGGGGGGTGGGAGGGCTAAGTCTGCATGCTCACTGCCTCTACCTCATGGCCCAGGGGCGTCCTGGAGACAGCAGAGCCGGAGGGTGGCCTTGGTCCACTCAAGGCGTAGATGGTTGCCCCTGGGTCTTGGTCACTGAGCTTGTGATGCAGAGTGTAATTCCTGCCACGGTGAGCACCATGCCTGCGAATGCTCCTGGGATGATGGGCAGAAATTGAGAGGCTCTGAGACCAGCCAGGTCAGTAGGAGCTGGTGCAGGGCTGAGGGAAGGGCTCAGACAGGGTCTGTCCCCAGACTACCCAGGGGAAGGAAACTCTGATGGCCACAAGGAAGCAGTGGAGCTGCAGAAGAAAGGGGCAGGATCGGGGAAGCTCCTCTCCTCACCGAGCCAAGGGAGATGGCTCTGGAAAAAACTAACCCAGGGGTGTCAAAGCCCAAGTAGTGGCTCCCCAAACTTGCAGTGACCAGACTTACGTTTTCCACCAATATCTTCTCCAAGGACCTTCCCAACAATCAGTGTAAAGATGATGGCCAGAGAGTTACTGATGGGCACAGCTAGGGTCAGATCTGAGTGATCAGAATGAAAAGAATCTCTGAGATGCAAAAAAAAAAGTCTTTCTAGGCACAAAACACTTTCATTACATCATCAAGACAGTCTTTTAAAAAGGGTATCTCATGACCCCATTTTCCAGATGAAGTCACAGCAAAGCTCAGGATTCAAACTCAGGTCTCCTGACTCTAAATTCAGTGCTCCCTCAGGATTCCAGCATGAAGACCTGAACTATAAGGTCTGGGACCACCTTGGTTTGCTGGTAAGGATGAGATCTTTGCACTCAAAGAGAACTTCTGAGATCTCAAGGACATCTGGACAGACAAGTACCCAAAACCCATAGGATGCAGTAGCTATTAACACCAAACACATTTATCAAGTATACATTATGTGCCAGGTGCTTTGTGCACACATCTCATTAATCTTCACGAAAACACTGCAGGAAGAGCATTAGCATCATTCTACATAGATAAAAGAATCAAAGGCTCAAAGACATCACATAAATTGAGGCAAATTGAGGATTTAAACCAAGGTCTGCCTGACTCCAAAGCCTGTGCCCTTATTGAATCTATTTAGATGGATAAGGACAAACCAAAACTGCAGGTGAAGCACATTTTGTTTCTGTTTCAGCTCAGACTTGGGCCTTAGGGAATTACAGAAGAGAAAAAATGTCAGCGGTAGGAAGCCAGGTACAGGACAGGCCCCACAAGGCTGGGCCTTAAGTAGAGGTCACCACAGTCCAGGGTCTGTTCCTTAGTTTTGAAGCCCCGAGGGACTGACTTGCAAGAAACAAACTTCAAAAAGACTAATGGAGTTAAGGACACTGTTAACTTAAAATTTATTACACTTAAATTTTGTACACCTATAGCTTTTTAAGAAGATAGATTTTACGTTAAGAGTTCTTACATACAAAAAAACAAAACAAAAAACGAAATCAGAAGCTGAGTTACTAGTTTACAAGACTCATAACTGCCAGGCAGACTGTGCATGTTGGCTTCTCAGCACACTCTTTCCCAGCCCTCCCGGGCCTCACCTGCTTCAGGTAGCGGAGGAGAGAACCGTGCAGCTCCTCAGCCCCTGCGAGGCCCCACCGAGGCTGGCATTAGCCATCCAAGAAACTGACACAACAGCTACCTACTCAGAGCTCCTTCCTTAAGCTTTCACACTTTACATCGAGTGCAGTGGCTGCTAAAGTCTGATTTGCAACAGTAGATTGGGGAGGGAAGCAGCATGGTACAAGGGAAGAGCAAGGGCACTGGAGTGAGGCTGACCCAGGTTTCCCTATGTCACCTTGGTTAGGTCATTCAAACACTCTGAGCCTGTGCCCTACATGAAAAACAGTGATAGCAGGATAACGACATCACCTTACAACAGGGTTGTAAGATGAAATATGATAACGTGTGTATATCCTTGGCTGAATGTATCCTTAATAAACAGAGACCACTGTTCTGATTATTAGAATGGGTGGGCGTTAAAGGATACAGAGTAGGTGGTGAGATAATAGGATCCTAAAATTCCAATTTGCTCAAAACTTGGTAAATGGCTAACTGCAGTCAGCTGACCAGAGGGCTCAGCATTCTGGGCAGCAGGGAGTGCAGAGGCTTTCAAACTTTCCTTTAAATGAAGTCTTATGAGAAGCCCAAAATATAAGACAGATGAAAGCGGAGTGACTCTAGTTGAAGCTGATGTGGCAGGTGTGGAGGTCGGCCTATCCGCTCACCCTCCTATGGCCTCTGAGGGGTTTCCCAGGGCTACCTGGGACCCAAACTTCTGTCAAGTCTCTGGGGGGCCTAGGTGAGACTCCAGGAGAGGTGAAATTCTCATAGCAAAGTTCAAGAGCATAAACTTTAGTAATATGTGGCTTCAAGTCCTTCTGCACGGACATGCAGTGGGACTTAGAGAGATGCAATAAGTTGCCCAAAGTTCTGTAACTTCATCTCCTAGGTGGAGACAATCATGCCTACTTCATAGGGTTGAGATGAGAATTTTTTTAAATGTGAAAACTAGAACAGTATCTGACGCAGCAGAGGGCAGTCAACAACAGTGGGGGAAAGGCAACTTATGTTTATTGAGCTCCTCCTGGTACAGTGTGCACCAGGTACTCTGCCAAATGCTTTTCATACACTGAATTTAATGCTCTCAGTGTTATGAAGCCAGTTGTAAAAAATCAAGGCTCAAATAAGGGACTTGCTCAAGGTTAGGCAGGTAGCAAGCAGTGGAAGCAAGAGTGTCAAAGCCAGCTCTTGGCACAGCAAAATGAACCTTCTTTCTTCCTCTGCCACTGCATGAGACTGCCAGGCTTCAAACCAACTCTCGTGCCTGGCAGCATACTCATAGCCAGCCCACTGTGCCCTACTGCCCAGAGAAGAGGGTGCAACTCGGGAACCAGGGACAGGGGGCTCTCCCTCACTCATGGCAACAAGGTGTTTTAGACACCCTCCCCACAGTGACTCTCCGGGTGGCCTCCACCACTAAGCATAGTAGTTCTAACCCAGAGACCTACCTGTTGATGCCAAGGTGAGGTAGTAGAGAAGGGAGCCACACTGGTTGAGGGAAAAGGGCAGCAGGTACTGGAAACAGAGGAAAACTGCAGTCAGTGTGATTGCTTAACTGAGCAGTGCTGCCTTCTTTGAGCTTTGAGATATGCCTTTCCTCGGAGGGAGGGGTAGCTATAAGGGCCTAGGGCCTAAGCCCTCTGAAAAGAACCCTTCCAGGGCAGAGGGAACGTCACTGAGTGAATCCCATGCCTTTGCCCTGAATGCCCTCCCCCTCAGCCCTGCTGGTTCCTATCCTCCCCATTCTGCAAGTCCCTGAATGCCAGTGTTACTCTCTCCAAGAAGCCCTCCCTTGGTCCCCTAGCTCCAGCCTCCCTCCTGTGAACTCACGCAGCACTTATCTGTACCTCTCTCAAAGCCCTTAGCCCTAAGAGACGGTTGTGTCTATGTCTTGTCTTTCCCACTAGCCTAGACTGGCAGCGTTGGGCTCAGAGGTAGTTCTCCATATCCTGCCTCCCCAGGGCCAATTTGAGCCCTAAGCCCTCCCTCCGGAAAGGTCTGTTGGAGGGATCACCATAATAAAATATTAATAATAGCAGCTAAAAACATCATAGATTTGGGCCCTAATTATGTACTAGGCCCAATGCTAAGTGCTTTATGTGCCTCACCTTACTTAATACTCACAACTGCCCCATGAGATGGTTACATTATTCCCATCTTACAGATGAGGAAACTGAGGCTCAAGGCAGACAAGGAATTCATCCAAGAGCTTCTAGCGAGTAAGTGGTGGAATGCAGATTCTGACCCTGACCTGTTTGACTCCAGAGACCAAATTCTTAGCGGCTACGCCCGAGAAAGGGGTCATTCACCGACACACCTCAGTATTCAAGAAGAGGGTCTTTGTCTCCTGCAGCAACTGCCGGGCCCAGGTCCGCTCATGAACCTGCTGCAGGTGCGAGGAGGCCCGCTTCAGCAGCGGCTGTGTGCCACCCCACAGAGCGGCCACCAGCACCAGAGCCAGCACCTGCCCTGGATGGAGATGCGAGTGACACTCCCTCCCCCGCCGCGCCGCCCCACGGCACGGCCCCAGCCCTCCTCCGGCCTCCCATCCCCAGCCCGCCGCCCCTACAGCCCTTCTTTCCTCTCCAACGCCCCGGGTGTGATTGGCGGGTAGGACAGACCCCGGGAGGCCGGGGAGGTGGATCCAGGAGCCCAGGTTCGGGATTGCAGCAGTGGTCGGGGTTAGGTGATGGAGGTGGAGTAGAAATGAATTCCGGGTGGGAGTCTGGAAGCCTGGGGAGGGGCGGGGCCCGCCTACCCAGGGTCGCCGCCATGGCAACGCCGCTCCTCTCCACTTCCGGGAACGAAGGGGCGGAGACCCGTAATCCGGAAGTGGTGCCAAAGCCTTTTCCGGTTCTGCTCGCGTTGCGTTTTTCCTCGCGTCACCGCCGGCATGGTGAGTTCCCCTGAGTTAGATTTGTTGCCCTGGGGGTCCGGGCCGGGGCCGATTCTGGGCGCTGACACTCCCGTCCTGTCCCCACAGAAGCCGATCCTGCTGCAGGGCCATGAGCGGTCCATTACGCAGATTAAGTACAACCGCGAGGGAGACCTCCTCTTCACGGTGGCCAAGGACCCGGTGAGCGTCGGCCGGAGGGCGAGCCGCCGGGACAGTGCGGAGGGGGCCCGGGAGGGGGCGAGTTCATTCTGCCGGGGCGAAGGGTGGATAGGCCAGTTTTGCCGTGAGAGAGAACCCAAAGAGCGCCCCATTCTGAGAAGTAGGGAGAGACCATCCCGGGATTAGGAGGACGAGAACATTAAACCTGGAGAGGTGGGAAAGGACTCAGTTGTTGGTAGAAGGAAGGACTAGCCGGGGAGAAGAAAAGCAAGGGACCTTGTGGAAGGGGAAGGGGGACGAGGGTCAGCTTGCTCAGGGAGCGGAGAGGAGACCATTCTGGGGAAGAACAAAACTATTCTACAAGGATAGGGGAACAGACCACCTGAAGAAAGGGAAAGTTGATCCTTGGGTGGCGAGGGACACAGAGGCCTTAATGAAGATGTCCCTGGTATCATTTCAGTCAGCCCTTTCCTGCCGCTCACTGACTGCAGACAGCCCCTCACAGTACTGCCTTTTGAGGCACCTCCATATGGAGGAAGTTAACTCGAGTGCCTGAAAGTGAGGGCTCTGAAACCAAACAGACCTGATTTGAATCCTGAGTGCTGCGTTCACTAGCAGTGTGACTTTGAGCATGTCGTTTAACCCTTATAAACTTAAAAGTGTCCCTTCTTACAAAATATGGGTAGTAATAGTGCTTCTTTCTGGGGTTGTCTTTAAGATTAATGAGATTATTCAAGTAAGGAGCTTAGTGTGTGTGAGTGCCTAATTAATGTTAGTCACTTATATTTTAAATTCCTTAGACAGTATTTTATTGGAGCTACCCTTTGAAGAAGGCGTTACTGTCCTGACCATTTTACAGATGGGGAAACTGAAGTTCAGAGGGGAGAAGCACTAATTTTGAGATAATACAGTGAGATAGTAGCAGAGCAGGGATGGGAACCCAGGCTTCCCTACTACCAACTGCTCCCATTTGGACAGAACACCAAAGCTACTGTTTTGCTAGGCTCGCACCTGACTTGACCTTTTATTTTTCTGAGGGTTTAGGAGTCTGGGAAAGGGCCGGTATAGTGGCAAATGGAGACTTTTTGCAAGCCTCCTGACTCCCTTGCTGCTTACCTGTGGGAAAGAGGAGAATCCAGGAGTTGGTCTTTTTACCAGCAACCTGCTGTTTCCCAAGAGATGAGCAGGAGAGGGCAGAATCTGGCCTAGGTAGAGGCTGCTGGGGGCTCCTGGGGCAAAATAGGAGGCCGTTGCTTTGCCTGAGATGCCTATCACTCTGTCATTATTGTCATTGACACCTCCAGATTGTCAATGTATGGTACTCTGTGAATGGTGAGAGGCTGGGCACCTATATGGGCCATACCGGAGCTGTGTGGTGTGTGGACGCTGACTGTATCCTTGTCTTTGCTCTGAGTCTGTGCTCCCAGGGTCTGCCAGCAATGGAGAGGCTGCTGACTTGGAGTTGGGAGTTTGGGTTGCTCTTGTGGGTCTAGAGAATGATGCTACCTGCCTCCTTGGTCTGTTCATTGGTTGGGGGAGCATTTAGGACAAGTTCCAGTTCTGGATGAGGAGGTTAGGATGAGAGAAGAAGGAAGGCTCTCTGGTGCTGAATAGGGAGGTGATTCAGTTGGCCTTCCAGGAGGACAAGGGCTCAGGTGAACTCTGTCATGCTTCTTAACACCCTCTTCAGGGGACACCAAGCATGTCCTCACCGGCTCAGCTGACAACAGCTGTCGTCTCTGGGACTGTGAAACAGGTAAGCCTGAATCCTTCACTTTTACAGCAAACAGTGAGGACCTACAGATTCTGGGTAAATAGAGATAAATCCAGAGATGGTTCTTAGTCTAGGGAAAAAGAGACAGACAAGAAAATAAAGAAGACAGAGGAGAAAAGAGGCATACGGTGAGACATAAGCCATGTTAGAGGAAGCAAAGAGCACTGTGGAAGGCCGGAGGTGGGCAACTGAATGCCTGGAATGGGGGTGGGAACAGCCTGGGAAGGTTTCCCAAAGTAAATGTCATATGAGCTGGGGCTTGAAGGATGAGAAAGAGGTCATCGCTCTGGAACATGCAGGAATGAAAGCAGGGCAAGTATCATATCCAAGCCATCTGATCTGGCGGGAGTTCCTGCTTCTTGGGGGATGAAATAGACAGCAGTGGGGAAGCTGAGGCAGGCTAGGGCCAGAACAGGCCTTGAATGCAAACTCGGGAGCGTGGCTTTGTTCTGTAGGATTTGGCATGCCGTGGAGGTCCCTGAGCAGGGAAGAGCGTGTTTAGCAAGCCCAGATAGCAGTGGGGAGCATTGGAGGAACAGACAGAAGACAGGGGAGCCTATTAAGCTGCTCCATTTAGTAAATGTTTACCGGTAATCCAGATCTCCCAGGTCTTTGCTGGGCACTGGGGACACACAAAGAAATTAGAGCAGGACTTTGCTGTGGAAGAGTGCATTCTGAGGCAGAGACAGATAGAATGCAGTCCACTGTGAGTGCCACAGTGGCAGGTGTCTGAGGAGGGACTGTGGGGAGAAGTTAAAAGACTTGAGCCAAAGCACAGCAGTGAGGAAAAAAGTGGGGGAGGGCACTAGAGTCAGTAGTGCAGGAGAAACAGTGCAACGTGACGATAGGCAAGTGTATTTTTTTGTTTGTTTTGCTTTTAAAAAATATTTATTTGGTTGCACCAGCTCCTTAGTTGCAGGACATGGGCTCCTTAGTTGTGGCATACGAACTCTTAGTTGCAGCATGCATGTGGGATCTAGTTCCCTGACCAGGGATAGAACCCCGGCTCCCTGCATTGGGAGTGCGGAGTCTTATCCACTGTGCCACGAGGGAAATCCCAATAGGCAAGTGTAGAGAGAGTCCTCCCTGCAGTGGGCAAGGGCTAGCCCACACTCTGCCTGTCTCCAGGGAAGCAGCTGGCCCTACTCAAGACCAATTCAGCAGTCCGGACCTGTGGCTTTGACTTCGGGGGCAACATCATCATGTTCTCCACGGACAAGCAGATGGGCTACCAGTGCTTCGTGAGCTTCTTCGACCTGCGGGATCCGAGCCAGATTGGTGAGCCAGTGCTGGGGCTCAGGACTAGAGTTGAGGTGAAGGGCTCGACTCCAGAGCCCAGGGCCTGACATCTGCTGCCCCACACAGACAACAACGAGCCCTACATGAAGATCCCGTGCAACGACTCCAAGATCACCAGTGCTGTTTGGGGACCCCTTGGCGAGTGCATCATTGCAGGCCATGAGGGCGGAGAGCTCAACCAGTATAGCGCCAAGGTAAGGGGGTGGGTGAGGCCTAAGCCCATCAGAATGATTCTCTATGAGAGGCAGGATAAGCCCAGTGGTTAAGAGGGCTGGATTCACATACAGATTTCACCCCTTTCTCATTATGTGATCTTGGGCGTATTACATAACTTCACGGAGCCTATTTATCTGTAAGATGTTTCAAGGATCAGATGACATCAGGTGTTTGAAAAACTTGTCATAGAGTACTCAGGATATGTTACTAATGATCACAGTTAAGCATTCTCCTGCCACTACTGAGTGCCAGGCCCCATCCTAGCCTCTGAGGACAAAGAAGTGAATCAGACATGGGCCCTGCCCCGGGGGAGACAGACTGGCAAACAGCTAGCACGTGGGTCAGATTGTGAGTTTTGCCACCATAGAGGTCTCAGCCACGTACAGAAAGTGCCCTCTGTCACAGAGGAGGTGGCATGTACATTAATCTGTGAAGAATAAATGGAGCTTCAAGCCGGAAGAGAGGAACCAGGACTAGATAGTTTGCGGGTCAGGAGACAAAGGAGTTGTAATTTTCCCTTAGGCAGGAGGTAATCTTCAAATGGTTACGGATGATCAGGTTTTCTCTTTAGAAAGCTCTCGCAGGCTAGCTTGGAGAATGGACGTAAACTAGGCAGTAGTCATGGGGATGTGGACTACCTGACAGTCAGGAGACGTTCAGAGGTGACTGATGAGATGGACCCACAAGAGCAAAGGGTAAAGTCCAGGCTGTCTCGGATTTCAGATGTGGGTGTCTGGGTTTCTGAAGAATACTGGACTATAATACCATAAAGGTTAGTCAGTCACTCAACAAGCACTGACTGTGGTCCACTAAAGTACCAGGCTTACCTGCAGGAAGGGAATGGGAACCAAGGGCAAAGACATAAATAACGCTTGATGATAGCAAACAGTGAGCTGATCTGTGCCCCCAGGTAGGCCTGACTGCAAAGCTGGTACTTGTTCCCTGAAATGTAAGAGCCAGATACGTCCCTACCATGTGTCCAAATTAATGGAGGAGACAGAAATACATTCTTCCCTCAGAATAGGTGAAAGTAACTCAGGAAAGGAAATGACAGTCTTCTGAGGGTCTCTGTTTGAGGCCTAATGCTTGAGGCCTTTTAATCATCCAACAAATGTTTACAGAGCACAGGCCAGGTGCCTGTCATTCAAAGTCAGTTAAGACCCAGTTCCAGTATCCTTACAGTGGCCCTTGACCCAGAGGGCTTTTTTTTTTTTTTTTTTTGGCCACGCCATGCAGCTTGTGGGATGTTAGTTCCCAGACCAGGGATCGGCAGTGAGAATGCCAGTTTGAGGCCGAGTCCTAACCACTGGACCTCCAGGGAATTACCCCTGGGGGCTTTTTTTTTTTTTAATTAATTAATTTTATTTATTTATTTTTGGCTGCGTCGGGTCTTCGTTGCTGTGCATGGGCTTTCTCTACCTGTGGAGAGTGGGGGCTACTCTTTGTTGTGGTACGCGGGCTTCTCATTGCGGTGGCTCCTCTTTGTTGTGGAGCATGGGCTCTAGGTGCTTGGGCTTCATTAGTTGTGGCACGTGGGCTCATTAGTTGTGGCTTGCGGGCTCTAGAGCGCAGGCTCAGTAGTTGTGGCGCACAAGCTTAGTTGCTCCAAGGCATGTGGGATCTTCCTGGACTAGGGCTCGAACCGTGCCCCCTGCATTGGCCGGCAGTTTCTTAACCACTGGGCCACCAGGGAAGTCCGCCCTCAGGGCTTTTAATAATCTTGTTTTCTAGATAGAGAAATTGAGGCACAGAGAAGTTTTGTTTGTTTGTTTTTGGCCACGCTGCTTGGCTTGCAGGATCTTAGTTCCCTGCCCAGGGATTGAACCCGGGCCCTTGGCAGTGAAAGCGCAGAATCCTAACCATTGGACTGCCAGGGAACTCCTACAGAGAAGTACTTTTTTTTTTTTTTGTGGTATGCGGGCCTCTCACTGTTGTGGCCTCTCCTGTTGCGGAGCACAGGAGCACAGGCTCCAGACGCGCAGGCTCAGCGGCCATGGCTCAGGGGCCCAACCGCGCCGCGGCATGTGGGATCTTCCCAGACCGGGGCACAAATCCGTGTCCCCTGCATCGGCAGGCGGGCTCTCAACCACTGAGCCACCAGGGAAGCCCAGAGAAGTACTTTTAAGGGCAGACTCTAAAACTCTGTACTACATAGTCTAGCAGGTTCTTTTAGTGGGAAGGGAAATCAGGAGATGAGACGGCCTTTTGAAGAGACCTAAGAAAAGGATGGACGAGCAGTGGTCCTCGTGAACTGTGACCAAGACCCTACGAGGGAAGGAGATGCGAGTGGATTCTGCCTCTGACTGGCTTTAGGATCTCCAGTCACATCACCTCTCTGAACCTTAGTTTATTCCTTTTAAAATTTCTGTTAAAATACGTACGTCATAGGATCGTTGTGAGGACTAAAGGAAATAGGTGTCGCTAAGTGCTTAGCACAATGCTTGGCAAATAGTAGCCATTCAATAAATATTTGTTGGAAGGATTAAACGGAAACTTCTCTACTGTTACATGATGATTAATTAATAGGTCTGTAGATTTGTCACCATAAGTGTGTGTTTTCCTAGGTAAACTAGCAGTGTTTACAAAACCTGCACACTTGGGCCAGGTTGGGCTTGGGAGTGGGAGTAAATGTTGATTCAGGGGACACTGAGGCAGCCCCAGCCCAGACCCCTCCCCTTCATGGAACAAGAAACAGTCCAGAACCCTGGCTGAGCAGTGGGGTAGTGAGGATCAGGTTGGTCAGAGCCTCACTCTTCTTTCTTTTGCAGTCTGGGGAGGTATTGGTGACTATTAAGGAGCACTCCCGGCAGATCAATGACATCCAGTTATCCAGGGACATGACTATGTTTGTCACTGCATCCAAGGACAACACAGCCAAGGTGAGCCGGGGCAAGGGGTCTGGTGGGGCTGATCCCACCCTCCAGCCTGGCTCTCGACTTCCCCCCAAGAAGGCTCCTTTTACAGATTTCTCCCCTGCCTTCTCTAGCTCTTTGACTCCACAACCCTTGAACACCAGAAGACTTTCCGGACAGAGCGTCCCGTCAACTCAGCTGCCCTCTCTCCCAACTATGACCATGTAAGGGACCCCACCCGAGCTTCTTGCTAAAGCCTCAGAATGTTTCCAGGATCTAGTTGTTTGTCTAGCAATTAAGAAAAGATCTCTGGGGGAAAATGGTGTCAGGCAGAGAGGAGATTCTCAGAGCAGCAACAAGGCTGAATGATTGGGAAGCCCCAGGGGACAGGGTAGGAGGTGGCTGAAGGATGTTTGTTCCTTACCCTTAATGTATTCCTAATCTGATGTGGGAGATAATTAAAGGCTTATGGGGTGGGGGGAAAAAACAGAAAATGGATTTGCCTGCCCTTTGGGCCTGTCTAGAGTTTCTTCTTCCCTTCAGGTGGTGCTGGGCGGTGGTCAGGAAGCAATGGATGTAACCACCACTTCCACCAGGATTGGCAAGTTTGAGGCCAGGTAAAGGGGGAAGGAGCTCTTCCAAACTGAAACTTCATGAAATGTCTTTCATGATGGACACAAACCATAAAACTAAAGAGACTTCCCTTAATTCATTGGCTGCTAGGAAGTGCAGCCAGATTTGTGGCCCTCCTGTGACAAGTGTATAATATAGCAGTTAAGAGCATGAACTCTTGGGCTCGCTCTGAAGCTCTACACATCACTGTAGTTCTCTGTGCCCAATTACCGTTGACTGTATAATGAAGACAATGATAATATACTTACCTCATAAAACTGTGCAGATTAAATAAATGACTTGGGCTTCCCTGGTGGCGCAGTGGTTGAGAGTCTGCCTGCTGATGCAGGGGACACGGGTTCGTGCCCCGGTGCGGGAAGATTCTACATGCCGCGCGGAGCGCTGCTGAGACTGCGCATCCAGAGCCTGTGCTCCGCAGCGGGAGAGGCCACGACAGTGAGAGGCCCGCGTACTGCAAAAAAATAAAAAATAAAAAAAAATAAATGACTTAATAGTTGTTAAGCTCTTAGAGCACTGCCCAGCACATAGTAAGGAAGACATTTGGGTCCAATCTTCCCCCAACTTTGTCTTGTTCTGTTCACATTCATTTCCCCTTTTCCCAGTTTCCCCACTTTACAGTTTGTGTTTGGGGAGTGGTACCTCTCGACATGTTTTGGAAGGAGATGGAAAATGAATAAACTGTCACTTCCCACCCCACTCTCTCCTCCAGGTTCTTCCACTTGGCCTTTGAAGAAGAGTTTGGAAGAATCAAGGGTCACTTTGGACCTATCAACAGTGTTGCCTTCCATCCTGATGGCAAGAGGTAGGGCCCAGTGAAGGGAGCTGAGCTCAGCCCTGGTCTGCCTGCCTCTGCCCTTTTCCCATGCCCTGCCCGCTAGGCCTGCCTCCCCCAGGGCAGGCCTCTGACCGGGCCCTGCCTGTCTCTTTCCAGCTACAGCAGCGGCGGAGAAGATGGTTATGTCCGCATCCACTACTTCGACCCACAGTACTTTGAATTTGAGTTTGAGGCTTAAGAAGCCGGATCTCAAAAAAAAAAAAAAAAAGAAGCCGGATCTCTGGGAATTCCCTGGCTATCCAGTGATTAGGACTCCGAGCTTCCACTGCACACCACACACACACACACACACACACACACGCCAGATCTCCATATGGGCCAGGTTCACAGAAGGCTTTGGACTCTGAGAAATAAATTAGTTTGGAAATAAATGGTTTCTGGTCAGAAATTTCGTCAGTTTCAACACTTTCCCTTCTCAGTGATGCCCCAGCAAACTCATACCAATCATGGATACCTTTATTATTTGGACCTTCTCCCTACACTTTGGACACTTCAAACCTGGAACTTCAGTATTATGGGCTAGGCTGGGTTGCAGGCACCATCATTCAAGGTCCAAAGGTGCTGAGGGGCCTGGAGAAGTTTCAGGAACATCTCAACCACCATCCAAGGACCAGTACTTAGGGTTGGGGCTCAGAGGCTGAATCTGTTGGCTGAGAGCCTTCTGTCTTCTGATCTGTTGCTATTTGCCACACCTTCTCCCATGCTACCTCTGAAGGCTCAGGTGGATGGGTCCAGTGCAGAAACAGGCCTGAGGAAGAGGAGGAGGACAGGTAAGGGAGCTGAGCAGAGGGGAGAACTCCCCCAGGGAGGAGGAGGGAGAGGGGGTCACCTTGCCACAGTCGCAGGCTCTGGGGCTCCACAGAGGGCCAGATGGCCAAGGGATTGGGGACGTAGAGCGGGTTCCGGAGTTTTCGTCGCTCTTTTGGCTGATTGAGCCCAGACCACAAGGAGTGTGTTTGAGTTCTCACTTGACACAGGCATCTGGAGGGAGTGAGAGAGGGAGCTTCCAGACTCAGCTATGCCCTCTGGGACTCCAGGTGAGGGGCTGGTTAGTAGGGTGACAGCTCCCCCAGGGCAGTGATACCCTCTCCCGCAGATGACAGTAGCCAGTCAGATCCTGAACTGGGCACTACAATAAAGCAGGAATAAGACAAAGTCCTAGTTCTTAAGGAGTTCTGCTTAGCTTTGCTTTGAAAGGATCAGGGAAGGCTAATTAAGAGTGTGCCATTTGAGCTGGGTCCATCAGCAACAGTTCACCAGGTGTGCAAAAACATGGAAATACTTAGGGGGAACTGCAGAAGCAAAAGCAAGAAAGTGGGAAAGGGCCCAAGGTGCATATTGATAGGTCTAGACTGATGAGTTAAAAAAAAAGGATGAAAGTGGAGATAATAAGAGCAGTGAGGAAGCTGTTCCAGTGGTCCACTTGGAAAGGAAAGTCTGGATTAGGGTAGTAGGAGGGGCCTTGGACAGGAAAGGACTAAGCTAAGAAATTCTTAGTAGAGGGACTTCCCTGGTGGCGCAATGGTTAGGACTCCGTGCTCTCAATGCAAGGGGCCCAGGTTCGATCCCTGGTCAGGGAACTAGATCCCACATACATGCCACAACTAAGAGTTTGCATGCCACAACTAAGGAGCCGGCGAGCCGCAACTAGGACCTGGTGCAACCAAATATTAAAAAAAATAAATTCTTAGAAGAAAAGGTAAATATGAAGGATGGGGGAGAGGGAGGTAAAAATGTTTCTAACCTGGATGATAAGCAGAGTTAGTAAAGACAACATGGTGGAGAGGAGGCCACTGGGCAACAAAAGATAACTAAATATGAGCAGTGAACCCTCCCTCCCCTCATCTCAGTCTGATGAGAGAAAGATGGCTAATGAGAGCTCATTGGCTGCATATGCAACAAGCCAACCAAATAATAAAAATGACTACCACTCGTGTGCCCAGTGTGTGCCAGGCACTGTGCTAAGCACCTTCCACACTTTAACTCAGCCGGTCCTCACACACGCCCCCACCCCACCTCTAGGCTATTGTGACTATTATGATTCTTTGCTTGCTACTGATGAAACAGATTCAGGGTTGCTTTTGCTCGCCCAGCAGGTGAGTGGTGAAGCCAGAATTTGAGCCCAAACAATTTGACTCAGCATTCAACCTCTACTCTATTGCTTCACTAGAATCAACCCTGCAAAGTGGTAGAGAGCCCCAGAAATGACTTTGGCAGCAACTTTCCCCTTCAGTCTTTGTTTTTAAGCTAGGAGTGCACTTGTTCTTGGCTATGGACAGAGTGGGGGGTAGGTCTGAAGGATTGGCCATGGACCCATTTATTTCGGGCTTTGCAGAAGTTAGGGGTAAGTGTGAGCTCTGGAGGTAGGAGAGGAGAGGACGCTCCGAGTTTTTCTAAGAGAGAAACTCGTTTGAAAGGGAAAGATGTCTTTTTTTTTTTGGCTGCGCCTTGCAGCTTGCAGGATCTTAGTTCCCCAACCAGGGATCGAACCGGGCCCCAGCAGTGAAAGCGCCAAGTCCTAACCACGGTCCCCCAGCAAATTCCCGAAGATGTCTTCTAAGAAAGTAGGCGCCAATGCAGCAGGTACCCACCCCTGTCCTGTGCCTGCCCTCTGACCCACCTTGACACCCCCTTAGCTCACCTCCTTTTCACTGTTGCAGAGGAAGGTGCCAAAAGGGGAGGCATAGGAGTGATCAAACAGCGCCAACAGCATCCCCTCCCCAAACTCCAGTGACAGTGGGAACTGGCGGCCCAGCTGCCACATGCAGTCCAGGAAGAGGAGAAAGATGGGTGCCTCGTGCTTGGGGCGGGTGTGGGAGAAGGCCGAATGAGCACAGCGCAGCTGGAAGGGGTGGCCGGCCTGGGGAGGGGGCAGAGCGATGGGCACAAGGAAGTGGAGATTCTGGATGGAGGGTTAGGGCTGGGCTGGGCGGCCACTTACCTGGATCCACTCTCGCTCTATCAGTTCCTGGAATCCAGCCATGGTTCGGCTCAAGGGGTCTAGGATGAGTTGGCCCAGTGAAGTCACTAGCAGGGTGCTGTCCGTGCCTTCGGCCCCATGCACCAGGATGCAGGCCCCTTCCCTGTGGGCCCAGGGCTTATCAACAGTGGCCTGTCCTTCCCTGCCTGGGGTAGCCAGGCCAGGAATAGAAAGGACCCATTTGAAACCTGTATTTGCTTACTGAGATGTGGTTTTGTGCCCAGACATTGAGAGCCCTGCCCACCCTGCCCTCTTCTCTTTCTTGTAGGGCGGGGTGGGGGGCGGGGCTTACCACTCCATGCCCTGGGCTGCTAGGCAGGCTGTGCTTAGTGCCTCCTTCACATGTGACAGCCAGCGGCAGCCATCTAGTCGACTAAGCCAGCGGTCCATGCTCTGCTCCGGGTCCCCACAGGCTTCCATCAGGCGCACGAAGCTCTCCTGTAGGGGCCGCCCCCTGCACAAGTGGGAGTCTGGTCATCCCTTCTCCAGCCCAAGCTCTGGTGAGCATAGCCTAGGAACAAATGCTCCAGACCGGTGAGGGAGACATAGAGCCCTCAGAGGAGCCCATCTGACAAGAGGGACACAGGGCCCCTTGGAGAGCCCACCTAATCTGATGGAAATGTTTCCCCAAACTTGAGGAGACCCAAGACCCTTTGGGGAGACCTAGTCTGTTGGGGAAGCATAGCAATGCCTGGGGAGGGGTCACATAGCCCCCTGGAGAAACAGAATGCCCTGGGAAACCCCAATTTGATGAAGGTGTCACAGTACCCTTGATGTACCCTAGTCTGATGGGAGCAACACAGTACCCCCTGGGGAGAACCAGTCTAACAAGAGAAACACGATACTCCTGAGATTCTGGTATCTGCTCCTACTTCCCAGGAACTGTTATGCTCTAGATCACCAGTAACCTCCTGCCAGAAAGTCTAATTGAGACTTTTTCAGGCTTGTTTAAAAGCCTTCAGTGGCTCCCCACTGCCTTTAGGATAAGCTCTGAGCTCATAATCATGGCATTCAAGACCTTTGCTCTGGCCCCTGTCACCCCTTTAGCCTCTCTACCTCCATCTCTCTTTCCCTGCCTCCACCTCACACTCCTCACTCCCACCTCACCGAAGTGCTTGCGGTTCCAAAACAGAACAAATGACTAGGCTCCCTGCTCCTGCACACCTGCAGTGCCTTCCACCTGTTCTCAGGGAAGCTTTCTTAGGATGACCTATTCTAACAGAGGGGCGCCTCTTCTGTGCTGCTACTTATCACACTGAATTCTAATTGCCCATTTACTGCTGATCTTCCAACCATGTCTGGGCTGGCCACCATCTCAGCCTCTGTGCTGGGTCAATGTTGGCCGAATCAATGAATAAACAGAGTTTTATATCCTGGATAGGGGAGCAGTCCAATCTCAAAGCACAAAAGTCCCTCAGGACCTTCTCTTGGTTCTACCAGCACCTGGAGACAGAGGGAGCAGATAACAACTGTGCGGGTACAGCCCTCAAGGGCAGGGCTGGGACCAGTGCAGTGTGTGTGTGTGTGTGTGTGTGTGTGTGTGTGTGTGTGTATGGTGAGGTTGTTCCTGGAAGAGAAATTTCAGTTCAATGTAAAGAAGTGCTTTTTCTACCCAGGCAGAGTTGGGGTGCCTAGAGAGGAATGAGCTCTGTCAGTGGGGACAAGCCCACCTGGCAGGATGGCTACCAGGAAAGACCTAACAGTCCTGGAAGTTCCTACAAGACAGCCCTCCCCCTGCCCCCATCCATGAAGAGTCCTGCACGAAAGAACCTAGGAGAGGATGGGAAGGCCCCTTACCTCTCCAGGGGCCGGTGCAGCCGTTTCCAGCCCGGGTAGGCGGCCTTGGCCTCGGTGCCGCCGCCAGTCATGCGGGCCTGTTTGGCGGCCTGGGCCGAGCGCGTGTCCACGATGAAGCCCCGGGCGAGCCTCCGCCAGCACAGGTCGCAGCAGCTCCTCGTCCTCAGCGCAACGCCGCTTCTGGGGCCCGGTCAGGGGCTGGCTGGAACGTAGGAGCACCTGCAGACAGGGACTCAGCTCGGAAACTGTATCCACCAGGCCCCGGTTCAGGGACTTTGCTCAGGGGATCCCTAGGCCGGGTTTACACACTGGAGCGGGTCTAGAGCTGTATGGGGCGTGGGGTGGGGGGGTAGCCCAGGAGCCCTGGGAGCGTCGGACCGGGTATGGGTGGGCTGTGGCCAGAGGGGGAAGGAACCCGCTGGGTAGAACGTGGGCGGGTCATGGGTTGACAAAAGAGGGACAAGGCTTCAGTGGGCCCAGACCAGCCGGAGGTGGGGCCAGAGATTGGCGAGACTCGGAAACCAGGGAGAGGGGCGGGGTCAGAATCAATGAAGGCAGGGTTGAGCTGAGTGGGCGGGGCCAGAATAGGGCTGG